ATGTGGGGTATTTTGTTACTTTATGCTAATTCATTCCTAATACAATACATCTTCTGTTGTGTTATATTACGGCTCCCCGGTGATAATTTACGTGCTGGGGTATTTTTTCATTTTTTGAAAAGTTGGGATATTTTTTTATATATGGCAAAAGCTGGGGCATTTTTTTATTCTCCCTATTTAAAATTATAAATTTATAATCATAACTCATAAATCAAGAAATTATTAATAAGTAAGAACAAAACCAACACCTATCGCAACGCAACGGAGTCGTAACTGACCGTGCGCGCGAGTTCCGCTAGCGCTCAGAGCCAGGTTCAGCCTCGCTTTCCAATTTTAGACAGAGCTCAAACGTGACCGACCGCATGGCGCCTGCTGCCTCGTCGGTTTCAGTGACAACTAAGCCGAGTCGGGCACAATGGCCGCGCTGAAACGGGGTATGCAGACCTTCCATGGCATTTCAAGGCGTGTTGACTGACAAAAGAGTGTTCGCGTCAGTTGGTAGAGAGAAGTAGGAGCCAAAGCTGCGGCGCAGTAGGGGTTGCTAATATGAACAGTCTTGTTCACAGCAGGACCTTTCGAGTTCTGACTGGCGGAACTTTGTGGGATGAATACGTACAAATTCAGTATCAAAGTGACTTGACCACCAAACATCTACCTTCATCTGAGTACAGTTTCTGTGTTGTGCAGTGTTTAATTAAGCTGATGATCCAGTGATCCCCGTCTCGATTTCTTTCAAGAACAAGTCTCCGTATACCCACCGTAAACTCGGAAATATTTAAGGAAGACAACTTATGCGTCGGCATAATCTAAGCAACTTCCCAAAACATAAAAATACCGCCTCACTCGATAAAGCCGACTCACTTTCTTTAGCCTAAACCTGAATGAAGATGTACACTTTGCACAGAAAAGCTTTGAACTCGACTACAACAAGAAAGATCAGGGTCAACCTTAAGAAACTTCTCCAACGATAAAATTGCAGTGTAAAGGTCCAGATGGTATAGCCGTGTTAAGAAAAATACACAGCACATTTGGACTATGCTAATCTGAATTCGTTTTCTGTACGTAAAAATGTAAATTTATGAATGAAAATAGACGTATAGCTGCAATATCGCTTTTAGACGGTTTTGAATGGCGTCATCTCGACACTCTCACTCGCCGTCAATGCTTGTTGCCCCTCGACATTATCTTGGTCTTGATACCCGCTGTCTTGCGCATAAACGCAAGCAGCTTTGTTCCGACTTCCTTCGTCTGCATGTTTGCAAGCTGAATGTTCGTGTCTATGCAGTCGATCCCTTCTTGTATGTCTCACTTATCAAGTGGCGCCTTATGTCCACAAGATATGTTTTGAACGGTATCTGGCGTTATTAGCCAAGGTAATCGCTCCATGGTGTCTTCAAAAACTTGTGTACCTTCCACTTGTTCATGATTGATACATGGTTTTGAGCATTGCACTATTACAGAAAGCGCTTTGAGTGCATGGACTGAGAGCCATATTCTCGGCCTCTACCGAGCAAAAGCAACGATTCGCTTGTACTTTGTATCGAATACCAGTGGCGCGCCTGCAATCATGACCATAACTCCTGAAATCGAACCTCTATCATCGGCATTGCTGCCGCATCCAGCATCTGAATATCCCTTAACCGCAGTCTTATCACTGCCTCGGTATATGTTCTGGTTTGGCATGTACTCCTAAAATAGTGTAGCAAGCAGATAGCTATATTCCAATGTTGCAGTCCGGGATTGTCCAGGAAACGTGACTGCTGTGTATCACTTATTCAAAATTCGGTCGATTACATGTCGTGATAAACAGCAGGCAACCAATCGATACGGCCAAACGAATCGTTTCAACTGTATTGACGACCATTAAATCCCGATGCGCACGGGATGTCGACACTTTTGGCATCTTTTTGACTAATTTGCTAAATCTCATTGTCGATATAGCAAGTCTGCTTGGTCATAAGTAATTTGGACGATCTGTCGTGGTCAATCTCCACTTCCAAAATTAACTACGACTTGTTCGGTTCATCCATTTCGAATGCGTTTTTGAACCTTTTGTTGACCTGATTGATCCCTCTTCTTGTTTTTGCTGCAACAATCATATCATTTTCATACAGTCCAAACCTTTCCCTATGAATTGTTTGACTATAATGTATTGCCCCCCCCCCGCAGACCTTGAATACATTGTACAAAGACACGATGTATTGTGAATTTCAGACATTTGCTGCTTGCCTTACCCTTTGGGTAGCATTATCAGCTGCACACGTATATCTGAGCATCGTTAATACCAGTGGAACTTTCATATTGATATTGGCTGTCAGCACACTGTTAAGAAAAAACAATAACTGCTCCATTTTATAGTCGTATTCGATAGACACCACAAGTATCTGCTGGATTGAAATTATGTTGACGACTGGAAGAAGTCTTGAAGAAGTCTTGAAGAGACTATCCCATATTTTTGCTCGAGACCCTCCGCGACAAGTCACGCCTTTTAGTGTCATTTTGACCACGCGTCCTGGCAAAGGTTTACTTAAAATAATTGTGCGATTACACTTTTCTTGTCCTTGATAATGACTTTGAGTGTTGCTACTGGATGCGAAGCGTAGCTTCAATGTCTTTACGTTGCTTGACTCCATCATAGCTTGTCAGTGCTTGAGCATGTGTAGTCGGTATATCCGTATCATCCTCACTTCTCACCGTTTGCGTAAATGCAGCATCGGCAGTGAGCCCGGCTTTGTCAGTCCTGGCACAATTAGGTATTGGTGGGCCACCACTGTCTTCTGTTGCCTCTTCATCAACTGACCCGTTCTTTAGCACACATATCGGCTTATATACTCGTCTTGGTAGCTCCACTAAAGGCTGAAACACCAAAAATGATTTCTTGTCGCGTATGAAGAGATAAGCGATACCCTGATATTTCCGACGTGAATTCAACAGAGCCGAGAGGCATCAGCTGCAGTAAGCTGACGCTTGGTGTAGTCTCATCATCGTCCATTTCGATGTTTAGGAATGGGGTTTCGACCGTTTTCATAAGCTCACTCAGAAGTGAGTGTCGGTCCACTTGGCTCTGAATAATGTCATCCGTTATAAATGGGATGGCCCTTCGTGCTATAGCCCTTGCGTATCGTCAATATCGCAGACTTTAGGCTTATCCAACCTCACAAAGCAATCCAATCAATTTAAACTTGAATTTTTCAAGTCAACCGTGCGATAACCAATGGCATTTCCGACTTAACCAAACAATATACATTTTAAGCTCTAAGGTTCGAGCTTGCTTTTCTTTGCTTCGTCAACATGAGAATAACCCTTCGAACCGAACACGTGCAAGCGATCGCCCCAAGGCTTCATCGCTAAAGCAAACTTTTATGCTTGATGTTAGGAGGGGCTAAAGTCATTAATCATATCAAATGCCGTTTTCACCGCTTCTGCCACCTCCTTATATGAGGGCTATATAGAACGGAACGTCGGTGGACGATGCCGCCTCGACAACATTTGACTCTCATTGACTTGTTTATGGATTCTACCACATTTTCGGAACTCAAACATATGAGTGAGACAAATATTCCACTGATTTGTATAGTACAGATTCTTGGATTTTCTTAATTGCAACCTTCTTCACTCTTGGTCTCGATCAAGAAAGTCGCAACAACTCATCCATTTGAGGGAGACGGCATGTTTTCATATTATCTGGACGCACGCACACTATAAAATGCGTTGCCTTTGTCATGAAAAGTGAAGGAAATGCCGCGACTGTCTGCTTACCCTTCAACGCCCGGCACACAATGTTTTTGTTTGCGTGTTCATCGGGCTGGTTTTATTGTAGCGCTATGTCTTGAGTAAAGTATCCTTATCTGCGTGTTCCATTAGAGCCTGCCAAAGCTCCCATTGAGTTTCAGCTCTGGATAAAGCAGCGTAACATGCTCCTTCTTGCTCGCAGTCGAGCATGTACGCTTTGCCGGTTCTTGTCCCGATAAAACCGCTTGTTCGTTGTTCTGGATAACACACGACGAGCGCAAAAATCCGCGCCCATGCCTCGTTCTGCAAACTTGCCGACAGTCAGCAAGCTTCTGTTGAGTGCTGATATGCATAAGACGTCAACCATATGAATCATCTTTCCAACAGAACCGGCCGATTCAACCGCGCCAAATCCGTCGACAAATATAGTCTCGCCCTCTACAATTGTTTCTTCGATGCTTGTCACAAGATCACTGAAATCAAACAAGCCTTCTTGTGCGATATCATATGGTATGTGGTCGCTATCTATAAGCAAGCCTGCTGATTTCGTTTTCGTCCACTGCATCATCGCTGGTGAATAGCATTTTGGCAGAATAGCTCCGCCAAACGTGACCAACCAGATCACAATCAAAACACTTGCTCTAAAATGCGTCTTCTTTGCGTGGAGTACCACCTATCCAGAAGCATTCTTGTCCCCTTCGAATATTCCGGCATTCCCATCTTCGAGGAACGCATTTCCGTAGCCTCCTATCTGTTTAGTTTCTCCTTGGGTTCAATCAGTGTGACGTTCTTCACGTTATCCTCAAGTGATATAATCATATTTCGATGTCAACTTGCGACCAGCTGGTGGCGACTCACCAACAGACTCTATCACTGTCGGAAACCCACAACTAGCTCGACAAAGAGTCCATTTTTTCCGCCGTCGTAAAACCTGCAGTGAAAAATTGATTATACTTTAATGTCTTAATCAAAGCGTTTGCCATTTCTATCCGAAGTTACTTTGTTGTTATGCTGCACAATTCGGGCTGAAAACCATAAGAAGAACGAGAGGACGTAGGGTACTTCACAGTGAACCCTAAACGCCATCTGCTAAAATTTTGTTCTTCGGCTTTCAATTATATAAAAGTGAAGCCATTACTTGGCAAATCTGAGGCTTCTCATTTTGCCTCGTTGTATTCATCTAGGTCTCAAAATACGTCAGCCTTTCTAACCCAAACATCTCTATGATCCTCGCCTCCAGGGATCCCGAAAGTAGCCTTTTTTTCTTGATTACATGCAAGATGATTACTTCATAAGTGATGTAGGCTATCGCCCAATTTTAAAAGCAAGTACCGGCAATGCATCTACTGCGGAAGGTTTCGATGCCTTACCTGATTGAGGTTTTTCGTGTCCGTATCCAGTAATTCAGTTGTTGGTGGGATCTAGAAATCCTTCCAAGCTTTGATTGCATGCACAGGCCGGGAAACCTGCTCCGACTCTGTGTCTGCAAGAATCGGATGACGTTATGATCGATTATCTGCGTGTCCCTGCTGCGCACGGTCCACATTGCTTGCAACACTATGTGGTGGATGCACAGATAGCCAGCGAGACGCGCCAGAACCAGCTATTTGCCCGCATATAACGAAAACTGTCCGTGTGCACACACTTTTCAAAAAAGGCTTAAGTCAACTGATACGCTTCACCGCGAATTGCTCGCTTCCAGCGGGCCGTTGACTCACGTAAAAGGGAGGAAAGGTGAAGTGCCATTTTTATTACAGTCAATAGGTTCTTAGCCTTCCGCTTGGTCCCATTACACGCCGTCTCACAAATCTAAAGAGTTTGCAAAGCAGCTCCAGGGACGCGAACACCCGACTTAAGAGTCGACTTCTGCTTGGGTTTTCAAAGTACAAAGCCCGATGCGGACGCCGAGCCACTTGTAG